ATTATGGTTCATTTATTGACTCGTGCGGTATCTCTAGATGTCACGTGTGTATCCATAACATGCTCGTCGGGGCCCATGCGGGTGTTTGGGGGTATCTTTTAATTATTTGCTGAGTCTTGTCAACTCCTACTTATCTACTTCGGAGGATAGGGTTCAAATTTATTAACCAACGTAGCATCTATAAATATCACGTGTGTACTCATAACACATCGCTGGGGCCCATGCGAGTATACAATTACACTTTTCCCTTTTGTGTACCTATGTGTATACAAATTACGATGCATGTGCGAGGTATTTTGGAATTTGATGTTGCTAGGTTGTGCGGGCAATTGTCATTTGCATGCAGCATTCTATTTGAAAGCTCGTAAACACCTCCAATCCACTTGTAGGGATGTTGCAGATCTAGTGGCATGGCGTCGTACTATGATCATCGATCCATAGAAGTTTACATCTATTATATTTCACCCTATGTATGCAGTAGTTTGTAGGCATTTGTATTTGTTATATATCAATAACCCTTGGTTTACAGAAGATTAGTGTATTTATTGACCATTAAATAGTGGTTGACATTAATGGTGTTATACCATTCATTGCCTTATACTACACAACTTATAGGTGCTTGTATTTGTTCGTAATTTCTATGTGTATGTTGATTTGTGGGCTACCACATTTACTTACGTATCTTTTAGTGTTCATATGAACTACTGCATATATTTGTGAGACAATTGACATTGGTCATAGGGGGATTCTCAAATTTATAACATGTATGTTGTTGTTGTTGTTCACAGGAGAGCTAGAGCACTTGCTTGTTGGTTGACTTTCAATTATTTATTAGAAATGATCATATATGTTTTCAGTTTGATCGATATTGACTGTAAGAATGCCACTATACTGATGATTTCACTTTGTATTAACCTTTAATGTTTACAAGACTCATAGTATATATTTATAGGCTAGCTAATATCAGTCGTATTCGTAGCTTATCTATTGTCATCATTCAACATTTCATTCAAGTTAGTGTGCTTATTTACGAGTCAACTAGCATTGGTGGCAAAGAAACTATCTTCTTTATGACTCTTTTGCTTCACTTGTGGACATGTCGCATCCTTTGCATGTTGTAGGTAAACTACTATGTACGTGACAAACCTTTATAATTGCTTGTGGATACTCATACAATTGTTCGTAGGTACTCATATCTATAGTGAATTCATGTTTCTTGCTTGCATATGAATTGTAGGGTCTTGTCACATTCACTATGCTTCGTCCCAACGTTGTAAAAGACCAGTGTATTCACTTGTATATTATACTTCAATGCTTGTGGAGCATGCTATATTGGATTGAATGCATGTGTTATATTTAATGTTCCTCTTCCACATAATGCTCATGAACATATTAGGATGTATATTACATTTATCTTATCTTTGTTCATGAGTGGACAACTGCAATCATTGACATTCCTTTAAATCACAATGCAAGTTTAGTTCCATATGATTCATTCAAGTCCTTCATATCCATTCATTTGAGTCCAAGTCCAAAGTAGGTTCAATTTTGAGTTCAAGATCATGTTCAAGTTTAAGTTCTTCTTGATAGAGTTTGAATTAGATTTTTTTGTTTAAATTTGTATTTAGCCCATTTAATATTTAAGTCCCATCCAAATAAAGTCCCCTGTTTTTCAATAGTTTGTAGGCTTTGATCCATTATTTTGTCCAAGTCTTATCCTTAATTCACTGAAAATTTTGGTAGCCTCCCGATATCTCTCCCATTCAGGGGAAAATTACACGAGTCTGGGTCTTCCCATCACGCACAATAAAGACGTGTAAGGTAGATGTCCGTAGACATTGCAGTCGTAGTCTTTATTCCCACCACTTGCAATAAAGACATATATGGGGTCGAGGAAGGCACATGTTTTAAAAGACAGTTGGCTTCCCCCTACTCGAATATACTTATAAGTAACTCCGTCTCGTCGTAGACATCACATCGGTTTCCCATCCCACCACACGTAATAAAAGCGTGTATAAACGGTTTTCTGGTGCACCGCGAATGACAAAAAGGGGGCTTTTGAATCACCTACATCATCACAAGCATCAGGATGCACTTCCTCTTACCACGCTAATAAAAGCGTGCATATGTGACTATTTTGTCGCGCTGCAAGCATCGAAGATAGGCTCTCGGAGTCTTAGGGCTGAGAGGTTATACTTGCGCGGTGTTTGCATGTAGAACGAGGCGAGGAAAGATCTTTCTATTTTTCATATTTAATTAAGTATAATTAAAAATAATTAATCATAATTAAAAATAACTAATTATAATTATGTTTAATTATTTATAACTAATATATAATTAATTATAATTAAACAAAATCAATCATAATTACACTTAATTAATTATGAATAATTTATGGTTAATAACAATTTATTATAATTAAATTTATTAATTATAATTAAATTTAAGAAATTATAACTAATTTATCATTAATAATGATTAATTATAATTAAGAATACTTTATCATAATTAATTAAAACTGAATTTATACAGGATCTAGCAGGACTTGTCGGGTTACAGGATTTTTGTAGGATCTCAACAGGATTAAAGCAAGTTTAAGCAAATCCTAATGAAATAGGATTCAGTCAACTATTAAATCTAGCAGATATAAAATCTTCAGTTTCCTTCTTTTGATCTGCAAGGTTTACTGAACTTTGCCGAAGGAGCACGCGAAAGGGTGTAAGTTACCTTCACAGCTTGCGAGCTCGTGTCTTTTCAGTGTCGTAACTTCCGCTCCAATATGAAGGGAATGGCGTCGTATGAGCGAAGTTGTCCAACAACGAAGGATCCGAAGTCGAACAGCGGCAAAGAGGCGAAGCAGACTAGGGGTTTCGTCTGCGGGAGCTTCGACAGGATTTGGTTCGGTCTGGAGCTTGCGATTCTTCTGTAGGGAGGCGGGTAGATCGTGGGGTTTGGCTTGAAGAGGCAAGAGCAGGCATCTAAGTCAGACAGGGGTCCGGATTTGAGCTACAGGCTCTGTAGAGCTCGACTAGAGCGGTCGTATGGGTTTTGTAAATGGGAGAGATGAGGCGTCGGATGGACAAGGCAGAGGTTAGATAGGGTTTGGGAGGAGGCTACGACAGTGGAGTGGAGTCGGTTCGCAAACAGAAAGTTGTGGGATTCGGGTTTGGCGAGGTTTGGAGGTTGGGGATTCGTGGGTTTGCGTATGAAAGCAGTCGCGTTGGAGAAGAAGAAGAGTTTGATGTAGTTGAGTAGTTCGCAGAACCGAATGAAGCGGGCTTCCTCTCCATTTTTTTAACACGAATGGGGCTCATTCGAGGAGGCGTAAGCGGAACCCCGCAAGAGACGTGAATGGTGCCGAATGAATGATGTTTTCTGCAGGTTTTTAGCAGGATTTCGTGGATTTCAGCCGGCATTTTAGCAGGTGTGATTTTTTAATCCCATTTTTGTTTTCTCTGTGGAGGTCAACATTCATCTTGATGGAAGCTAAAATAAGATTCCCTAAAAATACTTAGCGATCTCTTAGATAACACCATATAAAGCCTATTATCTTCAATCAAATATTGGGCTAAGTATAAGTTAATGGTATGTGTAAACCTTAACCTATATTAGCCTTATTTGCCACTCTTACATGCATTTTACCAATTATCCTACCAAGATGCATTTTTATGGGTATCCATGTTGAGCTGCCTAAAAAGCCTACTTAGTTTAGACCTCAATAAACCCATGACCTAGTCCTAATATGATTGTATTCATTAAGAACCCTATTGAATGTATCCCCACTTGAACATTTAAACCCCATTGTTCTTTAAACAAATATCCATTAAGCATTAGGGTAGAGTAGTAATCTATTGTGTCCTTTTCATGCATAGCATGAACTCAAAAAGCTCTATAATTAGCTATAAATTCCCAAACTCAAGAAAACTTTAAAGCTTTTGGTTTCAGGCTACCAAACAAGTACTGGCTTCGACTAGATGGTTGCCAAAATCACTAAGCACTAAACCCTATAGTCAACAAAGACTAGAAAGGCATGTAACACCATCTACAAAATGATATAAAACCTTAATCCTAATCTATGTAAGAGTGATAGTGCGTTCACCATTAAATCTTAAGGCTTTTATATCCATCGATCCATGATTAGCCATATTAAATCCCATATATTCGAGTGATAATAATCACAAACTTGGATCTATAAAAATTTTTAATGGTTCCTTTATAAATTCACTATGTGGACTCCACTATTTTGTTAATGTACCTTGTTCACTAACCCACTTATTTTATATGGTGGTGCAATGATTTGAAATCATTGGACATGTGCTTTCCAATAATATAATCTTATTTAGGGGCTGTTTGGTTGCCTGAAAAAAAAATGCAGTGTAAAGTAAATGCAATGTGAAATAAATGTACTGTATTCCGAATACGTTGAGATTGTTTGGTTGTCTGCAAAATAAACGCAGAAGAACTGTTTCCCTTGTTTGTTTAGGTAGATCCAGAGTAAAGTAAAAGTTATTTTAAAAAAAAAATAATTTGATAGAAATCATGGATACTCATGCAACCAACTGTTAGTATTTTCATTAAAACCTCTCACATCGCCATTTTCAATTTCAATATTTTTTTGTTATATTCATAAGACTCGAATTGAAGGGCTCTTAGGTATTGTTTGGGATAAAATATTACTTTCTAAAGCTGCTTTTTAAAACATTTTTTTTCAGCATATGAACCCATATTTGCCTTACGGTAAAGAAAGAGCCAAACAAGACCATGGAAATCGATAATGAATACAAATTAATGAATTTATATTTTTGCCCTGCTACTCTTTCGCACGAGGAAGATAAGAAGCATGGTTGTACAGTAAGTTTTCAACCCTTCCTAGAAAAAACAAAAGCCTCACCCTGTTCTTTTCTTGTTGCTGTTCTCTTTCTCTGCTCTAAGTGCTGCTCTAAGTGGAAGTTCGTTGGATTCTTTGCGTGCGTTGACGTTTGTGCTTGGCATCACTTGCAATGGGCGTAGCCACCGTCTCCAGCACGCCGTCGAGGACATCGCCCCTCGGCATCGACTCCGGCTACTCTGACGGCTGGTCGCATCAGCTCTGGCGGCGTCCGTTCTCCATCGTTGCCTTCAAATCATCGGATCCGAACTTGGTAAAGCCCTTAACCAAATCTAGAAAGCAACCGAAGCGAACCCAGTTTGTTTCCCTCGAATCCGACTCTGCTTCTCCTTCATTGAGCGCGGTGGATGTGGACTACAGTGAGGTTGCCGAGGCGCTAGAGAATATCTATAAACTGAGATCGGCAGAGGTTTATGACATGGAGTTCGATTTCAGTCTTGGTCGTGGGGTGCACACGAGGAAAAGGGGCAAGAGAGCGTGGAGGGCGAAGAAGGGATCGTGAGAAACAGGAAGAGGAGGATGAGAAGATTAAGTTTGGATGCATCCGGTCTCCATCGTTGCCTTCAAATCTCGGCTCCCTTGTCCTCGTTCGACTTCGTTCATTCGCGCCCCTCTTGGCTGGTTGTCTAGCGAAGAATTTCAAACCCGCTCATTTTGAGCGGCTTTGGAAGTCGTGGGATCCGCCTTCCCTAATACACGTCTAATTACTTCCGAGAATTTCCTTTTCTTCCGCTCAAAATTAACCAAACAGCCGAATTTAGTAAATACATGTATTTGTTTTACTTTACCCTCCTAATTCATGCAACCAAACAGCCCCTTAAAGGACTTTAATGTTGCATAATCAAATGCATAATTAGCACTAATTATGTTAAATGGATTCGTATAATTTCTAAATGTGTTTGGGGCTCATATAATTAATAATGGCTTTTATCAAAAAAAAAATTATAATTAATTTTAAGAAATTATACTCTACTTTTTATAATTATAAAAATTATCAAATTAAAATAAAGTTTTAGCAGTCTGTATGATTAATGTTTTGGACTAAATAAATTGTTTATTTTTTTTTCTAATTAATTATATAATATAAACATTCACATAAGATTTTAATTTCATGTATTTCTCAAAATTGCAAAAAATATTACATAAATTTATAAAAATACATATATAAATAAGAGCACCATTCCTAACTAATAGTTTTTTTTTTTACATGTCTTTTTTTTTATTCTATTTTTCAACACATGATATGTTTCAAATTTCAAATTGAGAAAAAGCCTTAAAATGCTCTCTAGATTATTTATGTTGTGTTGTTATAGTCCAAAGCTATCTAATATATTCAGTTTAATCCTTTCACTCATTAAATCTAATTCAAATCCATGGACCCCAAATTAATAATCCAAAATAATCTAATAGAGAAATTATTTTATATCAAATTTGAGGAGTTAACAGACTAAATTGATCACATTTTTAATATAGGACTAAAATAGCCATAATCAAATAGGACAAAGGCCATTTTGGCATTTTTTGCCTTTTTAAAATGATAAAATATCAAATACAAAAGAAAAAAAATTATGAGTATTAGGCACATTTTCTTACTTGATATTCTTAATCAAATCCTACATATTTCTTTTGCACTAATTATCTCACTTTCGAAAAGTATTTTTGAATTAAAATTGTTGCATAGAAAAATGAGCATTCATTACTACTTATATTCACAGCAATTCAAAAATAAAGAATACATACATTGGGAGAAAACAAAGTAAAAAATAAAATAGATGGCAAAGATGAATCAAGCTGTTAGAATCAGATGGCTAAATTATAAAGAGGATTGCAAGAACAACAGGTAAGGGGAAAAAGGCTTTTTAGTGGGGCAAAATTGATTTTTAAGGAGGGGCAAAAAGAATTTCTTACTTGCATAGACTATGTAAATGTGGAGTAGCCTGTAATTTGCACACATATATGGACCTCAAACACAATACCTCTAGTTTGTTCAGCATAGCCTATGTAAATGTGATGTGTCTATGATTAGTATTGCATAAATGTTTAGTTTATCAAAAGAGCATGACTAACCCACATTATATTCCTACCCCTATGAGCTTCTATATAAATATGATTCACATGAAGATAGATAGTTGAAGAAAAAAGAAAAAAAATCAGCATATCACGTCACCCATATGCATCCAAGTTCTAGAAGTCAATACTTTGTGTTACTCATGTTGTATCATATAAGCAAAGTACTTTAATTGAGAATTCTTTTGAGAGTCATTCCCAAGATGTAACTTAATATGGCCTTGATCTTATGAGTCATAGTTAACGTAACTCATGTTTAAATCCCTATTTTATTCAGGAGAAATATCTAACATACAATACTCAGTTTTCTTTCTAAACCTTTCACAAGACATAGGTGACAAGTTCTCTTGTCCAGGGTAGTAGATCACTTCCATCAACTTTTCCCAATATGGCCATTTTCGTACACTCTAATATACAATGTGCCATAATATTAAAACATTATTATTCTAAGATATTAGGAAATAACTTCAACAATGATTGTTATCAAAAGGTATTAGCTTTAATTTATAAGCAAATGAAAACATAACTTTTATTATTAGACCTCTTTGTAAATCATTGCTAAAACATAAGCATGTAGTACAAAGATCTTACAACTAGCTCAGGTTATCAAATTGGAGATTGTCACTCGTGAAATCAATCAAAAGTAAAATATAAGAAAATTGAAAGATAAAATTATGCAAGTCTAAGAAAAGGCATTCTAACTCATGGAGTTGAAATAATGAGCAAAGACTTTTTCTTCACCATCTAAAAATAAATTTCTGGCCTCTATCACACATCATTTATAAATTATCGAGCTTTCTAAAATTGGAGTCTGATCTCATTGAGTATTCTGCAACGAGCTTTGCAAACATGGATGTCTTATTCTCTAGCAAGCTTAACGGTGTGTTATGTTCAACGATAAATCCTGCATAGTACAAAAGATAAACCCATTAATATTCTATGCAAATGTTAAATGATGCAGAAACCATGAATAGATTACAATGAAGACTAACCATTATCGAGAAGAAGGACCATGTCACTATCAAGGACTGATGTTATCCTATGAGCTATTGTGATGACTGTCGAATCACAAAATTGTTGCCTTAATGTTTTCTGAATCAGGTTATCAGTTGCAGTGTCCACTGAAGCAGTTGCTTCATCAAGAACCAGTACCTTGCTTCTTTTTAGAATGACTCTTCCAAGGCAGACCAACTGACGTTGACCCACACTCCAATTTTCACCATTTTCAGTCACTGCAATTTGATTTTATTACCAAATGCTATCTGTTATGAATGTGAAAATATAAGGTTCTTAAACTAAGTCCAATATGCTAATGAATCGGCACCTATCAACCCCAGAACTTAAGCTAACTGGTAAGAGACACTTAAAATAGATCTTTACTATCACTAACGATATTAGAGTATTTTTCACTTCATGAGCATCTCAGCACTATGGAAACATAGCAAATGAATTAACTGGATAAAAACAACATTGTTCCGAATGAAAAAAACTCAAGAATGAAACCTTACCTATTGAATCTAACTTTTTTTCTTTCTTTCGAACTTCATCCCCTAGCTGGCAGCAATCTAATGCCTATTCAATCAAGATGAGGAAAGTAATAAAATGTATATGAGTCGCTAAAAAATCAGGTCTTCAAAAACTTTTAAGAGATTAGCATTGAGAAATTTAAAGCACCTCCCAGATTTGTTCATCTGTGTACTCTTCAAGTGGATCAAGATTGCTACGCACAGTTCCCTCAAACATTGTAGGATCTTGTGGAATAATGCTCAACTTAGATCTTAAATCATGCAGTCCAATAGTTGAGATGTTGATGCCATCAATAACAATTTCACCAACTGTAGGATCTATGATGCGGAAGAGCGTTTGAATTAGGGTAGATTTGCCACTACCAGTTCTCCCAACAATGCCAGTCTTCAAGCCACCAGGGAAACTGCATGTGAGGCCTTTTAAAACAAAAGGCATGTGTGGTGCATACCGAACCTACACTGAAATCAGTTAGTATTGAAGGAAGTTTTGATATAAAAATTAATTAGAAAAAAGCCGATTACCATATTATAAGAATATATTTGCAAAGCTTTTTAATGACAAAATACAACTGGAATTGTTAAAATGGGGAAGAAGTAGGCATTCCTAATGTTGCTATAATAGGTTTGACTCTCAAGTAGAATGAACTTGAATGCCAAAGAATGAGGATCCATAAAGTCAAGTCTAAATACTCTGTATGAGGTATAAAAATGAAAATGATTACAACAAAGATGACAAGAATGAGAATGATGATGATGATTTCTCCAAAATTTCAAAAGAAATCTCAACAATTTGCCTTAATTGCCTCACTCATTTTCTTTTGTCAATAATATTATGCTCCTGCTCAACAAGCCTATTAAAATTGCAAAGAAAAAAAATTAACATGTAAAAGATTTTATTCTTGTTGATCTTACAATTTACATAATACTTTAACAATATATAACTAGTAGTGCTTCTTTAAATAAATTTTGAAACCAGAAAAAAGGAAAAATAAAAAATCCAATGTTTGGAAGATGTCAAGGAAATAAAGTAAAATACTGATAAGAAGAATATATGTTGTTTCAAAGTGAAAATTCATTATATCTTATGTTCCTTTATGTAAACAACTTTTTATGCCTAATAGGGACATTTTTGTAGGAATCTTAACCAGAATTTTGTTTCAGATATTTTTAGATGACGATTCAACTACTTCTTAATCCATATTTGAAAGGAAGTTAGAACTAGAGGATCATGGTACCTTTAGATCATTTCTATGCTATGAAGTTTTGCAAAAGGGTCAAATATTTCTAAGCCACCAAAACTAATTATGAGCTCAACTCTCAGAGATAAATTTATATTTTGACTTCTAATTTCTTTTGCTTCTTAGTTTCACCTACATTTTGTTATGTTCTAGTTGGAGAAAAATTTTTCTTGCACGAGTGTCAATATAGCCTTAATCATAAATAAATCTTCAAAGAAAAATGAAAATTAAAGTAGCTCCACCAATTGAAACTCCTCCCATATCAACCACTTTCATTCCTCTCTTGAGCAATTTGTAACACTCATAACTATAGCTCAAATTTGATTATTTCCTAATAACTATTCTTAGCTCACAAATTTGATTATTTCTTACCCAATAGTACTTGATCATTATTTATCAAACGCTTCAAATATTATGCATTTGTCTTGGTCAAAAAATGATTAACAGTATGGTAATGAAGTTTCCCATTAAACCTTCAATATTTTTATCAAATCACTTTTCTTTTATTGAGTATTCCCTATGTTTTCCTTTGCTTTTAACTTAATATCATCATCATCAAACTTATCCTAAATTATTCTGATTTCTAAATTCATCTTTATTGAGTGTTGCATAAGGAACCTATTTGGTGCAATTTCTTTTGCAATTCTACCCAGTTTACCTGATTGCTTGCCCATTTTTACTCCTAATATTTTTAGATAAGTTTTATATGCCCATTTTATTAGTGCATCTTCTACTCTTAGTTGTACATGCATAAAATATTTAATTATATTTTTTATAATCTCATCTTTAATAGATTATATTTTTTTAGTCCCTATAATATAAGCATTTCTCAGTCCATCTTTTCAACTTTTTTTACGCATCTAGCTTAACATTCATTCATCCAACTTTTAAATTTTCTCATACATCTAGCTTAACATTCTTATGTTTGCCCTACTCAACTTCTCAATCAATAACTTCTTTATAATCTACTACTAGGATTCATACGATATAACATATCAAATTATACGATATTAAAATTCACCTTTATGCATTAATGAGACTCTTATTAACATAATTTTGAAGCATTTACCTATTTTAATCACCTATCCGCACTCTAAAAATTATATCATCATCTAAATCTAATTAATCTAAGTAACATATCTAAAATAATTAAACATATTATATTTATCACTTTATTTTTCTTAAAATATTGGTTGAAAACTAATAATATCGTGCCCGCTAAAAGTGAATGGCATAAATAAAAATTTTTGGCCTTTAACTTACTATAAGCAAGAATGAATGTGGAGGATTACCTGCAGGTCACGAAGGTCCAAATCTCCTTTTGACGGCCAGTTAACATCTGGCCTGTTCATTTCTATAACAAGAGGAGGTTCACTAGGAATGTTTGTATACTGAAGTATCCTCTCCACTGCTATTATTTTGTTTTCAAGGTTACATAGAGTCCAAATGACCCATGCCTGCAGCATATTCAGATTAAGACCATATGTAACGGCAAGACCAGCAAGACCTAATAGGAAAAGAAAAAAAAAAAGTATCATATTATCATATATTTGTTGGTAGAGTAAGTTCAAAATGATATTTCAGATATTTCTTTAAAAAAATTACCAGGATCAATCACCCCTTTTGGCAAGCTAATCAAGAATATCAAACAAAAAGCAAACACAATGGATGACAACATATCCAAACGAAAGCAAAGCCACTCCATTGCAGTATTATTATAAAACCTTGGTCGATTACATTCATCCAAGCGTTTGGAATTAATGTCTATAAATCTCGATTCTTCACCGAAGCTTCTGATAGTTGTTGATCCTGACAATGATTCTGAAAAATGTTGTATAACTGGAGCTTTCAATAGTCCCACCAACCTTGCTAGTTCTCGTGCTGTGTCAATATAATATCGCTGAAGCAAAAAATAAGAAAATGAATGCCATGTTCATAGGACAATAGAAACAAATCAACTTAAAACAGCAATTATCCTTCTTTAGCGTAAACAACTTTCAAGAAAACAAACAAATAAAGGATGTGGCACTTATTTTAGTCCACTCAAATGACTCAACCAACTCAAAAAGTAAACATGAGTTTTGATTAGGTATACCTGATACCAAAAGCATAATCCAATCACTGGAATAAAGATGATGAAAACTTGCCATGCAACTTGTGACATGACTGCAATAATTCCGATAAGTTGTATGATTGTAAATGCAAATGCGCCAACTTGGTAAGGTATGTTTGTATCTACATCGCTTTGATCGGTTGAAGCCTGCAACCAAATAATTTTTTATCCATTATTTCACGCCTAACTGAATGAAATGTTTCTAACAAATTTGAAGTTATGTGGATTAGCAAACCCTATTCAAAATACGTCCGCTGGGGGTGGAATCAAAAAAGGACATGGGAGCACGAAATATGCTAAAATGCATCCTACTAAATAGTATTGTTGCAGTTTTGAATCCAGCCATTGCAAGTAGAAAAGCTCTTATAAGGATGCATATAGAACTCCCAATGGCTAATGCAATATAGACAAAGATAAGAGTAAGCACAGTGACTGGAGCTTCCACATCTTTGGACACTGGAGCTGCCCAAGCCATCCAGTAATTGCTAGCTATCTGAAGGACTTGAAAAACAATCTGGGCAAACAATATTAGTGGCACTAGAGATCCTTTATATGCTGTTGTGATATACCTCCAGTAAACCCAGAACCCAACTCTTCCTTTCTCCCTTTCTTCTTCTTGCACAAGCTGGCCTTTCTGAATCTCTTTTTCATCAACTTTAGAATTCATTATATCTTTCTTATCTTCATAAAGAGTCTGCTTGCTACTTTTACTATTAGCTGAATCATCTTCTGCAATATCGCTTGAACAATCTTTAGGAAGTTCCATATTGTCAAGAGCTGACAAGGCTTCTTTATGAGCACCTACTAATTCCATCAAGTCCCTTCCCGAAGTCATTATGTCATTGTATTTACCGATTTCTGTAATCTTTCCATCTTTCATTACCTAACAAGAAGGTTTCATTCCATTCAATATCGACGTCCAAAGTGAGAATAAATGACATTTTAAATTGAGAAAAGGACAAAAAGGAACAAAGCAATTTGTGGAACTCACCAATATAAGATCAGCTGAAGGTAGAAATTCAACCTGGTGGGTGACATAGACTACGGTCTTAGAAGCCAAACGTCCAAGCAAGCATTCCTATTATTAGAAATATGATTGTCAATGGCTTTAATAATTTGATAAGAAAGTGTCATAAAAATTTAAAGATAAAATTTATAAAATTATAAATAGGCCACTACATGCAACGTACGTTAGAGTTGAATAAAAAAATCATTAATAGTCAAATTAAGGGTGGTGGAAATGAGAATATTAGAATGGCTCGCTTACAAGGAAAAAATTTAAGGAAAAAAAAAATATTATATTGCAGAGTTGATAGGAGGAACATCTATTAAATTTAATGCAATAAAAATAAATTTAAAAGTTTGGACATGTAGAACGAAAGGTAGAAATTATCCTATTAAACAAGTAGAGGAAATTAGTGCAAGGGGTAGAGCTGAGATAATATGATAGAAGTTGTTCAAAAAGATTTGACGATATATATTTAAACACCTAATATGGCACTTAATAGAAAAGAACAGAAAATAAGAATGCATGAAAATACCATCAATGAATTAGGATAAAGCAAATGATGATTATGTTATGATGGTTTTAAAAGAGAGAAGTCATCGTTAACAAAAGTCTATAAAAGTGCAAAAATATATTATTAATTCTGAGCATATAAATAATATATTTAGAACAACACTTGTAGTAAAAAATGAATTTAGCATCAATCAAAGAACAAGAAATTCTAAATGTCAATCTGTTTGATGAGTTAAAAGAAGTAAAAGTAATGGTTAGAAGACATTTACCTTAAAGAGATGGGAGCCAGTGTGAGCATCAACAGCACTAAATGGATCATCAAACAAAAAAATATCAGCGTCTTGGTATAAAGCACGTGCAATCTGAACCCTTTGCTTCTGTCCCCCACTTAGGTTGATGCCTCTTTCCCCTATTATTGTTTGGTCACCAAAAGGGAGAATCTCCAAGTCCTTCTTCAATGAACAAGCTTCGAGGACATTATCATAATTTTCTAAGTCCATTTTCTTACCAAAGAGTATATTGTCTTGAATCTTTCCACTCTGTATCCATGGTGATTGTGCAACATATGCCGTCAACCCACATAATTTCACTATTCCATCTATTTTAGGAACTTCACCTAAGATACAAGAAAGCAAACTAGACTTCCCAGAACCAACAGTTCCACAAACTGCTACTCTCATACCTTGTAGTATTTTAAAATTTAAATCTCTCAGGGTAGGTGACGACTCAGGTGAAAGGTCCCATGAGAACGTTCCGTTGCTCACTTCAATTGCAACATCAGAACTTCCTTTAGGAAGCTTCTCTACGACATCCTTTTGCAAGTCCTCAAGACGAAGGAATGTTGTTATCCTGTCAAGTGAGACTTTGGTTTGAACAACCATGGAGATGGTGTCAGGTAGAGTATAAATTGGTTCCTGCAACACTCTAAATGTTGCAAGTGCTGATAGAACCTTTCCTGACTCTAAAGTAATCCCCATAAGTACGCAAGTTCCAAAAGTAACCACAGCTACAAATGTAGGTGCACCCCAAAACACAAAAGTAGTCATTGCAGATGTGTAAACATATTTTTTCAACCAATTTGTTTCATTTTTTCTGAGCTCAGCAATCTTTTCTAAGAATTTCATCTCCCAGCCTTGAAGCTTGAGAATTCTCATATTTCTTAGGATTTCTGAAGTGGATTTCATCCTTATATCTTTTGATTCCATCATCTTTTCTTGGTATTTCTCTTGCATTTTACCCAAGGGAACATTTGCAAACATAACAACAAAAGTAGCTGCCAAAGCAGCTAGTGAAGCAATGCCCAATCTAGCATACAAGATAAATAAAGCCAAAGCTACTTGAACAGGGACCATCCATAGATCATGCAAATACCAACAAAAAATTGAAACTCTATCGGCATCCACACTCATGATATTGATGATCTCCCCGGTGGTACGTCCTTGTCTTGAATTGCTCGATAGGGTAAGACCCTTCTGGTAGATAATCGATACTAGGAATGACCTAACTCTCATGCCAATTTGCTGTAATCGAAAGTACCAATGCCTCTGTGTAAGGCATTCAAATATCTTCGCAACTATGAATGCCACTACTAAAACATAACCTTCATTAGCAAACGTCTGGTGACCATTAAGATACTGAACGAAGTAATCAATAAGATAGGGTCCGACATAGGAAGCTACGGTATAAAGAAGCGCATAAATAGATGTAAGAAACACAAGTCTCCAAGAAGATAAGATTAATGCCTTTGCTAAATTGAAAGAAGTAATATGAGCAGCTTGTTCACTATTTCCACCGCTATTGTTTTCGCAACTACTTGCATTGCAAGATTCAAGCTTGCTTTTGAAAATTGGAAGAACCCCATCAACACTATCTCTGTGATCAAGCTGAGGTATATCTCTAAGGTCTAAAGTCTTCTTATTACCAGCAGCAATCAATGGACTCAACCAAGAGAAGGTAAGGATGCTAAGAAAACTAGCATTTGTGAACAAGGAGACGTCTCCAGGACCACTATCAATCTCACTTAGTTCCCCACTAGGATTACTTACCCCACCATTCAACAGAGATTCTTGAAGATGATTACTCCCATCTTCAACCCTCTTTCCGAAAAATCCAGTATAATTAAGAACCAGAGCAGAAAAAAAAGATCCAAGATCCATTACCCACATATAGCTTTCCATGATGTCAAGCTTGCTATAGTAGAAATAATCTAAAGCAATGGAAGAGCAGGACATTAGCAAGTAGATACCCCACCATATCTTAAGAAGAGCAGGGAATCTCTTCCGACTAGATGGAAGGATAGAGAAGTGCAAGTAAGCCGAAATGACAAGCCAAGTGATTGCTCTAACGCCCAAATCCAAAGGAGTGGCAAGTTGTTTAACAAAAATCCCTTTGTCATCACCATACCAAAAGAGATCATAGATGCACAGGAAGAAATAAAACAAGGATAGAGTCAAGCTGGTTGAGAACGTTACTCTGTAATACAAAAATCTATCATTTTCTATTCTATCTTTATTCAAACTTCCACCACTAGACCTCCTACAGAACCAAAGCAAAGACAATGCAATCAAGAGCAGAATGTGACAGGAAGCATAGAACCAATGAAGAAAGACAGGTTCTAAGAAGAATGCACCGCTTGGATTCGGAAATGAGGCTCGCAAACCATGAGCCGCATATCGTAAAAACTCCATCTTTGCCTCTTACTATCGTCTAGGGTTGAAAAGAATATTCCACCTTCAAAATTGTTACTTGGCGTACAGAAGGAGAGCATTGGGGTTTATATACGCAAGTTTCAGCGCGGTGATCACTGTCACTCTACAAGTCATCCAAACCGAGGAGGCTGCTTGCCGGGCAAGTTTGCTGGTTCGTCGTTTTCATTCCGGTAGGACGGAGTGGGTCCGATTTATCCGAATAAATTAATGATGCCGTCAGCCATGGGGCACAGATTCGACAGGTGAGAGAGTTCGGGGAAATGACCTGGTTCAGTTTGTCTTTACCATGCCTTTCACTTGGCTCTTCTCCTGTACCAACTTATTTTGATTAGGCTGAATTTTTAAAAGATTATATATAGTTATAATATTTAGGAATGAGTATTAAAAAAAAATGTTAGAGCTTGTCGCCAAAGCCATGGTCTACAAGACCAAGCAGTCCCGGCTACCTGCCGCCCATATAGATATATATTTTTTTAATTTAATTATATGTATTTAAAATATATAATTTAAGATTTGAAATATTTATATAAATTTAAATTATATTTTATAAGTGTGAAAGTATGACGAATTGCAATATTTAATTAAAATTTTATAAGTGATATATCATCAAAAAAATTATCTTGATCGAGCATGAATCTTGGCGCAAAATTAAGTTGGAAACTTCAAAAATTAAATTGGGAACCATTTGAACTCCGAATTAAGTAAACTTATAGTCGAACTGAACGTCTCAAAAATACAAACCCAACAACACTAAATTCAACCCAATCCGAGCTCAAATGGTCCAAATTGAAGACCCGAAGCGCATTTGGAAGGTTCAATTCATAATTTGGATTATCAATCAGTTTCCAAATGTGACGTGCTTATAGTCGAGTCGAGCTACTCAACGAGAAAAATCCAACGAGCCCAAGATTGTTGAATTCTGATATCATTAAGACAATCAAATGTGAAATAAACAGTCCATGATCAAGGGATTCAACATCAGCTGTCCATTCAAACTACTCTCAATTTACCCATGATCTTCCTCCTATTTACTGATCATACAACTCTCAAAAAATTAGAAATAGACCACTTATTTCTCATGAGGGACCCAAGCAAGAAGAGGAAAAGAGAAGAAAGCAAGAAGAGAAGGAAGAATATGAAGAGAAGACAGAGATCACTCTTACCACTAGACTCGTCGATCACCGTCGGACTTCCACCCTGTAGCCAACATATGTCAAATTTCTGTCCAACTGCTGACTGACGCTAGAGTTCTGCTTGACCGTCGATTGATGCAGGAGTTATGCCCGACTGCCGACTAACACCAGAATTCCGCCTGACCGTTGTCTAACGTCGGATTTCTGTCTGTCTGTTAATTGAAGTCAAATTTTCGCTCAACCACCAAACATGGTCGGATTTCTTATCTCTGCTTATAATTGGATATCAATATGATGGTTGATTATTGTAATATGATCGTCCTCAAACTTGGGAACGAGTTAGTAACTTTTAATCCAACCAAATATTAGTGAAATCATTTCAACTAGGCATGGCCCCATGGTTTTTTTTTCCTTTTCTAGGGTTTTTCATGTAAAATTATGGTGTTCCTTTTTTATTATGTTTGTGTCCTGGATATTCATATAAGGCTAAGGAAAAAAATTTCTATCTCTATCGTCGTGCATTTTCTAGCCCGCAAGAATAAGAAAACAAAAATATTAAAACTTTAAAACAATCCAACAAGTTGAAATTTTGATGAAAAGAAAATATATAATATAATTATACTTATACTTTTATTCAGAAACTAATCATTTTGAATAAAAAATAAATGAAGAGTAATTGATATCAAAAATTATTATTTCAAAGAATGTATTAAAATTACATAAGAAATGTATGCATAAATTATTTGCGAAATTACATGTATGTCATGCATCCTCATCATATATTACAAGATGAGTATTATCTTCTTACAACATTATTGCGCTCCATGCAGGAGTGCGTGTGACTTTGGAGTGTATTGATTTGATCCTTTTCTCAATGGTTCCTGAAAGCCATGATTAAGTTCTTCAAGATTTTGTTCCTCTTCATAGTATCACTCATCGTCAGCTCTTCCTTGTTATGAGGACTACTGTTGACCAAAAATATTGGATTTGAGGTCGTTGTATATTTGTAGGAAGAAAATAGGCTCTATTAATGAATTAGGTAATTGCATAATTGTTTATCCCATCCAACATTAAAAGACGGCCATTGATCGTGGGGAGGCATTGGAGAAGAATTTGGAGTTGGCATTGATGTACCAACATTCCACAGGCTTTATTGTGAATAAAATTGGATTGCCTCCATGTTGCCTCGAGTTTCATCGTTCGTGTCACTAAAAGTTACAGAGTGCCCCATACTTCATAAATGTTGGGCCTCTACATTGAACAAATTGATAGCAAGCATCATCCCGTTTGCATCTCATCCATTGCTCCCATAAAATGGTCATAATAAAATCTCAATTTGCTCGATTGTCACTTCCTAGATTTAATTTATCAATGAAATAACATGATATAAAAATGATTTTTTTTTTAAAAGAAAATGTGGTGCTTACATAAAATTGTTCAAATGGGGCTCTATAATAGTAAGATTTTAGAAGCTAGGGCATACCTTGAAATAGATACAATGAAGCCCATGAGTTATATAAACACAAGTAATGAGTGATTACACAATTATTGTTACCTTGTCTAATAATGGCCTCACTGTGTAAACCAACCATTTATTCCAAATATTAATACTTGTATCTCTATCCTCCTCCTTATTATCATCTTCATCATCAAGTCAGGTCCAAAATAAGGACTGGTTGAAGTAGTAGAAAAATACAGTTGGTTCAGATTCTTCACAAAGGTGCTCCTCCTAAACATCCCGATTAATGCCTCAATAAATTCGGTTGTGTGATGGTAATACTTTTCCTGCATATCTTAGTAAAGAGCTTGCCATTCCCTACTCTGCTCTCAAAATTCAATAAAACCCTCCATCTTCTCCCTCAACTCATCCACTTGTTCAACTAAAGATTTAAGAGTCATAGAACTCCTGTTACACTAAGTCTGCTAGTCAGCCTAGGCTCACTGGGTCCTCCTTCCTCTGCACCTAATCTTTTAAAACTTTAAAATTTACTTTTGGTGAGGACTGAAATGGAAAAAAATATTATTCACTAAGATCTCCCCTCACACTGGCATTAACACACAAAGTATAGATTAAAGAAGGATGGTGCAAACCCACAAAAGTAGTGCCCCTGATGATGTAAATTAAAGAAGACTAAATAAGCTTTTCCACATATATAGTGTAATCAACCTGAATAGCATAATTGAGCAAAGCTCGGTATTTGGTTATCTCACTAATACTTTTTCTTGGTAAAAGATGAGTATGAAAAAAATATTGTGTTACACTTTTGAAAAGTTGAGTTAAGCAATATGCAAGAAAATTAATAATTTTATCCTCCCTCTTCTTTTATACAGCTCCACTATGAGGCTTACATAGAACTGTTAGCAACTCATCAAAATTTATAAGTGCTAGACTAAAAGGGTATACTCACTCATCAGAATTAAAATCCCTCAGTTTATAGAGATAATTAATGGTTAGTGGATAAAATGGTACCCACTTACCTCTCACATAATACCTATTATCCACAACGTCCTTCCCATTTGCAAAAAACTCTCTCATTACATTAACAATAGCAATATAGGGTTCCTCACACAAAAGCTCCCAACCTTGGTTTACTATCATCTGAATTACTTGCCCACCCAGGTTCTGAAAGTCTCGCTCATGGATTAATTATTTGTTTACCACTAATGCCTCATACCTTTGCTTAGCCTCAATAGAGATGAATATGCTCTTATTAAACAATGATGAAGCACACTTCTTATTGCCAAATATTTTTCAGGGACATAGATCTCAAAGAACAAGCAAGAAGAAAAATTAAGAACTTGGAGAAAAACAAAAGTAAAAATATATTTGAGAGAACTTGAAACAAATATATCCTATTTATAAATAACATCAACACTATAGTGCTTAAGGGATCAGTGTTGCAATGCTTAAAGACTTAAAAATAATAGAGGGCCAAATAAAAGAACGCTGCAATAGTGTAGGACACTTGGCGTAGTAGCACATAATTTTGAAAATAAAGCACTAGCTTTTTTACTAGAGAAACGCAATGGCACATGATACTTATAAGCGCTATGATACTAACAAAGACCACCATTGTGGTACTTTAACTAACATAATAATGATTTTGACCTAGCATTGCGGTGTTAAAAAATAGTGCTATGATGCTTTATTAAACATCCTAATAAAAATATATAAGAGATCAATAATCTACTATATCATTATATTACTTGATTTGACACGTATACTTGCATATATTAAGTGAGATTTTTATAATTTTTATATCATAAAAAACTAAGCATTATTTAGAGATTGATATAGTACTAAATAATTTTTATAATTCTTTAAGTTGCTCCACTACTCCCATCAGTTTACAAGGTATCTTTGGACTAAGGAACCCATGGCTGTCAACAAAAATCCTTCTGTCAGGTTGGGTCGATAAGACCATCAGTTGCTCCACTACCCCCATCAATTGCTCCACTACCCCATCTTCACTCTTTATTTATAGGTCTTATAAGGCCACAAGAAAACTTTAATGTAATAAAAAGTAAATGATGCAATCTTTGATATCACTAATTTTAAATTATATGGAACATTTCGTGGGATGGCAGATACCTACATGACTCTAAACTTTTGACAACATCTTCTTCCAAGATATACCATGCGAGTCTCTATGATGAATCACATGAATAAGTCTATAAAGTGAGTCCTCTAAAGGTGATGGTGAGTCTTATGATAATATTTATGACCTTTGGGCATAAAAGGCAAAGGGTACAAATGTTTAAGATAATTCCTCAATTTAATTGGCTGAGACAAGTCATCCTCCATGACTATTCTGACCTAATTCTCTTCTTGAAAACTACCGGCAGATATGAAATACCTGTGGACATACATAACTATACAATACCTTACATTTTTGCTCGGATAATTTTTTTATTGAATTTTCAAGATGACTAACTCACAAAAAAATAAAATTGTTGGGGCACAAAATTGGAACTTTGGCAGACATGTAAGCAATGAACACGCCAACATTTTAGCACATAGGTATACAGCTCACTAAATTTCATTGAGCTTATTGCAACACTAATTTGATCAAATTAAGGGTGCATTTGAAACAAGTTTCTTGTTACTTTCTAAAATTATTTTTAAAGCAACTTTTTAGCATAAATATTTATTATGCTAATATTTTTTATACTAAAAATTTACTTTAAAAAGCAAAAAAAAGTGCCCAAATAAAATCTAAATCAAACTAAAGCTTCATTTGAGACAATAAAGCAGCACTAAAAAAAATTATACCAAACAAACCTTACAAACTAAACCTTAGACTTCATTTGAAACACCTTTGTTACTGTTTCAAAATAACTTTTTAGTAGAAACATTTTGAGTTGAAAAAAATTGTTTCAAGAAATTTTTTATTAAAAAGTTATTTTTAAAAAGAAATAAAAACAATTGCCCCAACGAAATCTTAATCTCACAAAAATTTATTTTCAACTTGATTCGTATTTTAAGAAACTGTTCTATTTTTAATTAGAGAAACTTAAGGCATGCTTATTTTTACTATATCTCATAACTGTGCGTTAATGAAGCACTATTTTCGGTATGCACATCAGTCATTTATAGGCTTCAGTTAGCTAAAATGCATGATAACAAACCTATATATAATATATTTAAAGTGTGTGTAAGAAAAATGTTATTTAGTTGAAATATAAAACAAATGCAAGATATTATTTTTTTAACTTCGTTTAAAACAAAAATAAATTCAATGCCAAGATTGATCACGATAGTTGCAGTGGTAGCAAACAGTAACTTACAAAATGTGGCGATGATGATCAGCGACTATGGCTAACTGCGATAGTGGCGCCTAATAGGGGTGACCAGTGCGGGTAGCAAATGACGACGATCAACAAATAGGCCGACAAAGGCAATGAGAGTAGGCAATGGTGGTGTTGGGCAGTGGCGGTGGCGATATATAATAGCAAAAGCTTGAGGTGGCCATAACAGCAATAAGCAAAAGATTTCAAATCAATCAAAAAAGAACTAGAGGTTGCATTTCAAATTCATCAATGCATTATACTACACTTGAAATGCAGCCTACAAAACAATCGAATTTTCAAAATATAAGCATTTGATTTATATCACAGCACCAATACAACAAACAAAATAGCACCTAAAGGACTTGACAGTATATCTAAATCTTGCGGTTACAACTATGAGATAATGAGAATTTAACTTATTTGGCATAGCTAAAAACAAAGTGTTTGTAGTTTCAAGGAAAGGGCATTTTGATAGCTTTGATATTTACAAGCTCAAAATAATGGTACCTAATTAACCCACAACAATGTAGAGTCATAGAAGCCAAACGGAAAGAGAAATATATAAGGAATAAAAAAAAAAATAGCCTCAAGTTGGAGGGTTTGTTTACATGTCAAGCCTAACAGTATGGCAAAACCCAACCAAAACGTTGTACACCTATTTGATCTAGTGACGGGAGAGTATCAGATAAGCAATGGAGACCTGATAAGAATTTCTGCAAAGCAATTATGTAAAAGATTAAATTGTGTGCTGCATAGTGGATGGTTGAAGGGGAGGAATGCATCGGGCTTGTTGTGCAATAAAAAAGCCTCCCTTCAAACTTAAGGAAAAATTTTATAAGATGGTGGTGAGACCTGCAATGCTTTATGGCGCTGAATGTTGACCATTTAAAAAGAATCATAATACTAAGTTAAGTGTTGCAGGGATGCTTAGGTGGATGAGTGGCTTTACCCTTAGAGATATGACACGAAATGATCTTATACGTGAAAAGTTGGAGTAGCTCCAGTGGAAGATAATATTAGAGAGAGTCGCCTTAGATGGTTTGTTCATATTAAATGGAGGCCTTCCGATGACCCAATTAGAAAAGCTGAGTTATTAGATTTGACTTATGTTAAGAAAGGTAGAAGTAGACCTAAAGACTTGGTTAGAAAATATTAGAAATGATCTTTTTCAATTAGATTTAAATGACAATTTGATTTTAATAGAGCACAATGGCGAAAAAGGATTCATGTAGCCAACCGAACGTAGTGGGACAAAGGCTTGATGTTATTGTTGTTGTTGTATAGTCCTATCATAAGAAAATATTAAAGATAACTTATACCAAGTCAGCACTTTGCTGCGGCATGCAAATTGACTACGATAGCCAATACTTCTATAAATGTGTGATAAACATTCTCCTCCATGTTTTTTTAACAATGTAAAAACTTTATGTAGAGGGTTTTTTTTCTCCTACTTTCAATGTGAATTATGTACAATAATTTGTCCATGCTAAGTGAAAAGCTACAGAGTGGATCGCAGCCGTTGAGGACTAAGGAATATATCAACTTGTTCTATGGAAATGCTTTGAACGTACAGGGAACTGTAACCAGCAATGATATTGTTTTAAGCATTCCCAGCATTAACTACAAGAGTTACTCTTTACGTTTTGCATTGCCCATGCAGGAGACCTGAATAATCAGAGACCAGAATTCAATAAGCCTGTAAGAAACATATCCATAGAAGATATCAGAAGGTGGCTACTCGGCACTTACTATGTGAGATTTCCATTCTACTTTACTCCGCACCTCATTACAAGTAGACTGAGGCTGATTATAGATGCAATGAAATATGTGAACAAGCACAGCGGCATCAAGGGCAGCGTATTCCATCTGCATTATACTTGGAAATTATCATCAATACAATAATTTGGTGCACTTTAAAAGAAAAATTCATGATTTTTTTTTAAATAGTACTTGGATAAGTGGTTTACTTCATACTGTTTAATACTATTTGAACATCGAAGTACCAATTGGTTTCTACAGTACACGGAAAAAATCTAGAGAAATGAATAAAAAAAATATTTTATTATCCATTTTCAAGGATTATAGGGGTAAAGTTGTAGGTTAGAGACCTGATTTTGACTTAAAGGTCGCTGCTCCCAGTTGCTATTCCTTCTTGTCTTGTTCAAACCAGCTCCCAGTACTTTCTGTTCAAGCACGAAGCTAATCCATTGTCAACATAATAATAAGATTATTTGTCTATCTTTTATCGAAGGTGACTAGCAGTTTAAACAAAGATGAGAGAAAATCGATAACAAATTGCAGAAGAAAAACAATACTAACATAAAGCGGAACATTATGTGCTATAATGTACCTCCGCTAACCCTGAAAGACCACCGCCAGGCTCATTAAATAGTTTCTGAACGTCAAGCAGCATTTCGTAGTATCTAAAACACTCTAGATCTCCATAAGATTGAGAAAGTTGATAAAGATCACATTGCAGGTTATAACCTGAATTGAGAAATGGAAAGAAGGGTCATCTCATGCACTCAGTTTTTCAATCATTTAGGAACTGTTTTAGAAGATAACTCTAATTCCAATTGTCTTACCAAGCTTTAAGATGTTGGGAGAACATAGGAGGTTTTTGAAACAGCTGTCTAACTCAAGTGGTACATCTTGATGTAGCTTTATTAAATCAAAAATATAAGCTCGGTTCTCTGAAGCAATCTGCATTATGGAAACCTGGAATGGCACAAAATGGAATAGCAACAACACAGATGTTTGTGAAAATAATAGAAAAAAATTGATGCCTTAAAGAACGAAGTAGAAAGCTACAAGCACGGGCACTGAACACAGAAATACATGTGTCACGAGAAATTATTTTGTGCGGAGTCCGGACGGGAAAAACCATCCGTATTGCTGTTTATTTACGAGTATTTACTGAGAATTTGTAAATACTCAACAAATACTCAGTAAACACTAAATACGGAGTAAATCAGCAAATACTCACAAAATATTCAGAGAATACGCACAAAATAGTCATCACATACTCACAAAATACTCAGTAATACTCACAACGGAGTATTGACTGAGTAATTGCAAATACGCAACAAATCCGGACGGTTTTCGACTCCACACAAAATAATTTTTTCAATTTTTTAGAGTAACATTCAGTTTCAAAATGTGCAAGTACTTGCATGTTTAAATTATTATATATATATATATACAGAGAGAGAGAGATATCACGTTGAGTATTTGCTAATTACGTAACATACATTAGGACAACTACCGTAATAGGCATGTGGAACTCAATGGTAAGAGGCAAAAGCTCAAGTAACTAGTACAAAGAGTAAAGGGAACAAACTAGTGAGGAGTTCAGGAGACTCCCAGAATGAGAAAATATGAAAATTTTCATGTATGAAAAGCTTGCATACAAGAAATAAGAATAAGGAGAAAAATACAAGACCTAAAAAGCCTATACGAAAGGTCACACCAAAATATGTGCATACGAGCAAGCAAAATTTAGAATATGGCATTCCATTCCAAAGGAAGACCGACCAAGGGTGATAGAAGAAAAATAATTTCCAGTCAAGCCTAATAAAGGACAATGCTTGCGTAATAAGGAGGCTTGGATATGCTATTTTCAAGGAAAAACCATAGTTTCTTTGGTCAAAGAGATAAGCTAGAAGAAGAATTCAATAGATCCAAAGTCTACTACATCTAAAAAGTAAAAAATGTTGAAGGCAAAATTCAAAGCAATCCCATTCCATTACAAAGAGAGGACTAAATAAAGGGGATAGGTAAGAGAATCTCCGTGTAAGCTAGATAGAGGAGAGTATTTGTGTAACAAGGAGGCTTGAATATCCTATTTGTAAGGAGTCTTAATTTAAGGTATAGTTTCTTTAATCAAGGGAATATTAAGGGATTATCTTGTTTTATCTTAGTTTCAATTCATCAAGTAATTAACTAATTTTAATTAATTATTTATTTCAATTAGTTAATTTTAATTAATTAATTATTGTGATTAATTAATTTGAATTAAATATTAATTAACTTAATATATTAATTAATATTTAATTTCAATATGGTCATATCGACCGCACAAGGTAAGTTTCGAAAATAAAAAAGCGTGGCATCACACGAAACTTACCTAATGCGTGTTTACCGAAAATCTAAATCGTTGAAATGGCCTCCGTTTGCAAAATGGATAGTGCCAACGTGTTTGGAGCTACAAGAACAGTTAAGATCAGCATCCACATGAATTGGAATCATTGATTGACAAAAATTTAAAATTTCATGCGCACGGATAGATGAGGCTTTGACGTGCGTGCACGACAACGACGTGGCGACTAAATTGATGCATGATTATTAAAAAAATTATTATTAATTTCATATTTTAGATCTAATTACAAATAATAATTAACAAAAAAGGAGGAATTAAAAAATAAGAAAAGCTAAAATCTAAATAATCCCTAAAACACCCTCACACACATTCCCTCATAAGACTCCCAAACCGGACACCTTACAATTCTCATGCATGAAGCTCACGCACAAGTCCTCTCCTCTCTCGTTTTGCTCACTCTCCCTCACATGACCAACCGCTGCCAACCATGCCCGTTGCCACCAAGGTAACTCCAAACCTCTATCTTTTTCTTCTCTTTTCTTCTTCTTTCCTTCTCCATCTCCTTCATTCTTCCTTCTTCCTTCAATTTTCTATCATCTTCTTCACCTCTTCTTCTTCTTCTTCTTCTTCACCTTCTTTTTCCTCCTCCATCTTCCTAAACCTAACCCTAACCTTAACCCTAACTCTGATTTATCACTTTCTCCCTCTCAATCCCTCAAATCCCACATCCCCCTTCATCAAAAACATTCCCCAACACCTCCTACCCCTCCAACAAGATGCCCTATTATCCCTCACTTTCTCTCTAGACCAAGTGTGAAAATTCTCACTAAAAAGAGAGAAAATTCATAATTTTTTCCTTTCGAACACTTCATTCTCAAATACCTCCCACCCTCATTCCTTCTTTTCCCTCTAACGAGAGAGAAAACATTTTTTCTTTCTCTATCTAAAATTAGAGGAAGAGAGATTTTCTCTCTCTAACATCCTCCTTAGCACAAACACATTCCTATATCTTTCCACCAAAACACTAACCAAATCCCCTCTTTTCCTTTCTTTCTCTCCCAAGAAAGAGAGGTCGCATCATCTCTTTCTTAGTCTAGCCCACCATTGCACAAAAATATAAACATATATAAAATAACATAAAATATTATCATTAAAAAAAATTATAGATCACAAGTCTCATGCACCTCGTCTAGCCGTCGTCGCATCCATCGTGCATCTAAGGTATAATCTCGACACTTGTTATTTTAAATTTTTATACATGAAATAAGTACCCGTGACATTTTTTTTAGTAGACAGGGAAATTCATGTGCATAAAAATAAGTACATGTGACTTCATTTTTTAGCAAATGAGAAAATTCTTATGCATGAAAATAAGTACTTATGACTGCTTTTTGTAACAAACGAAAAAAATTATTTACATGTTGATAAGTGTAAATAATGTGTTATTTTATGTGTTATATTTTTAATAAAAATGTGTTGTTTAGTTGTATTGTGCAGAAAAAAAACAGAAAAAGGCAATAAAATTATAAATATCATCTAGCGCCGTCGCATCGGACCAAACAACGCCACAACACCATCAAAGGCACGACAGGAGCGCCACAATATCGACATGGCAGTGCCAACTTCTTTGTTGGACAACATCGCTACGACAAAAGAGTAAGCTTTGCAACGCCCAACTTATTGTCTTCAAGTGCCACAGCCTCATAATCTATCACACCTCGACACCCAAATTGCCATTCTAATGCCGAATCGTTCGGAAGTCAGCACCACTGCGACGTGGCAGTTGTAATTGTCCAAGGACACGGCCTGTTAGTAAAATGACGCAATTGTTCACTAAGTAACTGATGCACGTCAGCAAGCACTTGGCGGAGCCAAAATGCGTCGCGGCGTTAATTCATTTTTGGGCACAACAGCACCGACCTTTGAATTTCATTAGAAAAAAATATGCAATTTATATTAATCAATCTAAAACATTTTTTTTCAAATATTGTATCGATTATTTTACTGTTTTGATTCCGTGATTGAGTCTCCACAACAAACATTTTAATTTAAGTAGAATAATTTTGTGATTAGAGTAAACAATAGTGGTTGATTGCTCAAAAGTATACTTTCTCGTGGGTTCGACACTCTACTATATCACTTTATTACTTGATTTGACATGTATACTTGCATATATAAAATGGGGTTTGTTAATTTATATTAAAAAATCTAAGCATTATTTAGGGAAGTTAGAGTCTTTAAGTATATATTTTTATAATACAAAATTGCAATCCATCGTAGCCCCATCCCCATCAAAATTTTGGCGCAATTGTCAGGGAAGTATTTTAATTTTTGCAATATTTTAACTATATTGTTGAATTAATTGCATAGTTAAATCTACTTTCATTTTTTTTTCTTTGATCATTAATTATATATTTTATTTTATTTTTTCAATTGTATGCTTTATAGCCATAGAAAGAAATTTGTCATTTGATCCTAAAATTGAGTGAATTTTAAAAATAGTTGAACTTAACTTGTAGCAAAATCATTGTAGACCTATTAAAAATTATGCAAACATTTTAGTAAACGAAATTCATTGGAGCAAAAATATACGTACAATCCAAGATAAAAATTTTGAATTAAAACCCATTAATATTTAAATGGTTCAAAACTCAAAGTTTAGAGGAACTCCTATAAAAAATTCTAATTTACATTTAGTCAATTTCTTAGAAATTTGTGCAATATTTAAGTACAATGGTGTCAGTAATGATATTATTAGATTTAGATTGTTTCCATTTTCTCTAAAAGATAAAACTAAAATGTGATTGAATTCTTTATCTCTAAGTTCTAAAACAACTTGGAATGAGTTGACTCATAAGTTTCTTGCTAAGTATTTCTCATATTAAAAATCTGCCAAACTTAAAAAAAACATAACTTCTTTTACTCGATTTGAAGGAGAATCAATTTATGAGAGTTGAGGAAAGAGTTAAGTAAATGCTTAAAAAATGCCTACATCATGCATTACATGATTGTTTGATTATTCAAATATTTTATAAAGGATTAAAATGCTCTCTTAGAGATATAATTGATGCTGCAACTGAAGGATCATTAATGTCTAAACCATTTAAGAAAGGTTATGAATTAATAGAGAAAATGACATAATAATTTTTTTGTGACTAGCTAAAAATATAAATACTGAAAAAGTAACTGGAATTTATTAATCTGATTTTTTATTAATCTTGACTACAAAAGTTACAGTGATTTCTAAGAAATTGAATACAATAGAAGTATATTCTAGAATAGGAACTGAATCCTCAAGGGATCAAAATTTAGTTGAAGATAATGATATGCAAATATTAATGTAATTGAAAGAAAAAATTATCCCTTTTCAAATACATATAATCCAGGTTGGAGGAATCTTCATAATTTTAATTGGTCAAAAATTATGAGTGGTAATAATAAATTGAATAATAGGAAGAATAATCAAGGAGTAAATTGGAACACTTCTCAACAACCTGTTGTTAATCCTAGACTTACATATCCTTCAAGATTAAATCAAAACAAACAATTTAGAAATAAAAAAATATCATTGAAAGATGTAGTTATGCAGTTATGAGATCGATTGCAAAATTAAGTAGCC